TTAGGTATTTGTCTTTAAGAACAACCAAAGTTGTCCATTCGACCAAATGTAGAAATACCAACTTTATTACTAATGATAAGAAAGAAATTTATTTTTAATTTACAGTATTCAAAAGTGAGTTGTTTTCAGATCTCCAGTGTGAGACAACTGAAGGGGAAGAATTTTCACATGGTTGGTGTTCAATACTTTATAAATTAGTATTATTTAAGATTCATGAAGCTGTGAAAGCCACAAATAAGTTGCTTTTGAGAAAATCTGACCCACAATTTTCTGAAAATTATGCAACTATATAAACACTCAAGAGATTTCTGTATGAGTTCTGCATATAAACAAAAATAAAACCATGGTTCTCTTTTCTCTCTCTTTTTCTTTTATATATATTTTTTCTTTTTTTTTTAAATGCTTTACCTCTACTTCATTTTGCAAGTAGCTTTCATTCCATGGACACCACCAAAGATCCAATCAACTATTTGAGCATAAACCGTTGCCTACTAGACTGTCATCAGCACAAAGTCCCCCAAATAATAAATGAACTTTTTATTAACTGTGGTAACATTAACATTACAATGAGGGATTGTTTAAAAACAAGTTGTACTGCTGTTGCTCAAGAGCTCAAAGAAAATGGTTCTCAGTTCCTTTATTTTTCCTTGAGGGTAACCACAGGGGTTGCATTAAATCTTTTAAAATATGTTGACAGTTGAATAAGTGCTGCTTTTGCTCCGGTGACATTTTATGCTTTTTAATTGTCATTAATGAAGCTGACTGATACTTTCTTAAAAGTGCTTTACGTGTTCTAGCAATTTTATGACAAAAAGAGGAACAAAACCGTCTGCAAATTAGCCTTGATCCACTTCTCATATGGAATTTTCACTGGAGACAATGGGAGAATCTGCATGGGAAATATCTGCTTGACCAGACATTTTAGGTAGGAATGCATGAAATGCTCCCAGTAAATTGTGAAATTATCACTTGGTTATGCATCTCCACATAAATTCAAAGTTTGAAGAAGATTTGTTTCAGTGTATTTCTAAAAATAAGTACTGGAACTGCTTTGACCCATTGAGAATCTGATGTTAAAATGGTATGGCCCAACGTTTTAAGGTTGCAATAAAACCCGAAATGTAAACGTGAGTTGGAATGAAATGAAAGTCTGACACTACCCTGGAGTCTAATAACTCCTTTCTTATTTTGATAATACTCCCACTGGATTTGAGAAAGGTTTTGCCCCTGTAAAGATTGAAGGATACAGCTCCCAATTATCTGTTCAGGAACGTGCGGTAGCACAGAGGAATGCATGCAGCTTGAGAAACAGCAGGCACTATACTTGATAGTTCATAAACAGATAAGGTAAGTCTTTTGCTATGGGGAGAAAATAAACTATGGTGCTTTAAATTATGATGGGTGATTTAAGTAGATTAAGGAAGATCTATCCTGGGACAAGGAGCCAGAAGAGGTAAGAGGAGGGGGGATGGTACACTAATAGCGTAGGGAGATGTGTCGAGTCCTTTACTTCCCCCACCCCAGGTTCCCTTGATCTCATGTGCTCCATGATTCCCCAACACTACTGCAGCTGCTGCACCACAGCCTTCACATCTTTGCAATTTCAGAATCAGAAAAAGCTGGAGCCACCTTTCTTTCTTCACCTGCAGCGGCTCTTCAAGTGCAGATGTTGTACAAATACTGATGGTCCAAACCATCACAGTCGAACAGGACAATTAGGTTACGACAAGTCATCCCAAGCAAACTGAGAACCCCTTTGCCTGATTCTCTGTAGGCCTAGGGCCTTGTATAACCACATACACCTGAGCAAAGCATGCAGTTCAGCTCCAGCCTGACCTTTTCTTTCATCCGCATAAATGGCTATTCAAGGTGCAAAGCAATAGAAATTGGGCCTCAGGGTTCTGTACACCACTGCAATTTTCAAGATACTCAGGGTGCAGACAGCAGTAAGTTCCACGCTCACGTCAGGCGCACATTTAACAATCTCAGCTAAGTCATGAACTACATTTTAATTAGACAAGGGGCCAGGCTTTTGATTTCAAAAATAGAAACTAGGGTTGCAGTCCTTCATCCATTGAAGTTAATTGCAAAATCCCTATTATCAGGCTCTTGAGGTATTACCCAGGCTTACTTTTTAATTACATTTGATTCTTAATGAAGTAGATGGCAAAGAGAAAAGCAGCCCATGATTCAAACGATTCGCATTTTTATCTTTCCTGATGAACAAGAGAATAGGTCAAGATACTTGCTGGATTTTCCCATGAGAAATGCTGCGATGTGAATAAGCTCAATTGACTTGATCCTGAAGGAGCAGGTTAGCTTTGAAAAGCATCACTCATTTTCTCTTCCTGTATACATTCTACCCCCAAAACTTATGCCGTGTAATTATAGACACCAAGCCAAATCCAATTCAGAACTTGAAAAATATCATGTAAGTATCCTAAGCTTGAATGACTTGTCTTTATTATCTAATGTAATTTAAAACATAAGGAGTCCTAATTATAGTTTTATTTTTAAATGATGCACTTCAAAAGACTGACAATTCTCCATAAAAACTGACAACTTCTCAGGGCATGGAGACAGCCAATAACTTGATATTTCTACATGATTTAAAAACAATAAGCTATGAAGCAACTTATGCAGAAGGAGCATGTTATCACACTTGGCAGGAGAACGATACAAAGTTTCACCTTTTTCTCTTATATCAGTACCCATGTAAATAAATGAAGATTTATATAACAGGCATTCATACTACAGGTATTGCCTTGTTATACACAACAACCTGCAAACTTTTTTCACATAATGAAAGCTGTTTCTTACCATCTGGAAATCTGGCTTAAAAATAAAATCACTGGTTTTATATCGTATGAAAAGCTCAGCCCTTTATTTGAGACATTACTTGTTATATTATAAAATACATAATTGATTTCTGACTTTTACGACTTCGAAAGATCCATTAAAAATCAAGGACTTCAAAATAAAATTCTTTTTTAAAGGTCAAATGTTGAGATAAGTATTAGAGAAAGTAAAATGTTCATTTTAGGAGAATCAGATAGTATTGCAAGGCTCTGGTAACACTTACTTTCCCCTAACTTTCACTGAGGCTAGATACTCTCAGTTTTACCCATTCAAAGCATCGCTTTAAAAATCAAGGAGAGGACACAGACATGCAACTACTGTAGATGATGATGCAGAAGCAAGCTGTAACCGAGGAAGCCCAGCAAGGTTACAGTCAGGAACCAGCGAGCCGAGGCTGTGTCCCCAGGACTGGCATGGGGTGGCAGAGCTCCTGGGGCTCAAACACCTCCCCAGAGGAGGGCGTCACATGAAGCTGTCATAACCCCCTTTCAGACAACCTCCTTCCAGAGAGGGACAGAGAAACTAAGGTTTCAATTCACTCACCCATTATTTTTTCTAAATCCCTAGGTTTGGGATTTTTTGGGGGTGGTTCTGTGTTTCAGACTTGCAGGATACCAGAGATGAGCCAAGGAACAAAACACAAATCTCTTGAGTCCAGGTTAAAACCATTTACCCCTCATTATGATTCTTTCCCATTCACAAGCTTGAATACCACAAAAGCTGAACACTTCCTACTTCATGTTTGTACCAGAGATCAGGAGAATCCTACATGACTTTCAAGGCCACCATGGACACAATGTGGAAATCTGAATCAGCCTGTTCTGCATAACTGTGACAAACCTGCAGGTGTAATACACAACCACAACCAAACTTGCTCCCGTGTTGAGTTGTGCTGAATCAGTACCTTCTACACATTGCCAACATTACTTACGCAAGGAAAAGAAATTCCCACCTCCTTCTTCATTTGGCAGTTCCCTCTTGGAATGCAATTTCTACTATTGCTTTTACTGGAACCATGCCAATTTAGACCTAGTAAGTATTGTGCTTGTAAGTTTAGGGTCCTATACTTTACAATATACAGATTCTTGTAATTGTTCAGTCTGCTCTTTGGTATTTGTGGAAGATCTAACTCGGCAGGTCTTCTTCCAGGTGTATCTCAGACTCGAGAGCACATAGTTATGATCACTGCAGCGAACAGTAGTTTGCGATGCTTACTGGCTATGATTATTTTTAAAGTGATTCTTAAAAGACTATTCAGAGCACACAGAATATTCCCATGGCAGGACATGGCAGTTGCAGGACATCCCTGCTCTCATGAACCATACAAACCATCCTAAAGCAGACAGTGTCGGGGCAGGGAGTAGCAAGTCCTCATGCCTCGAAGGCAACTGCAGATTACTTAGTGACAGACAATTTCTGTTCCAATTTAACAGAACTGGTAAGCCCAAAGAACACACATATTCTGAAGTAGCAGATAAAATCAGCATTTAAGACAGGGATTAATACTGGAAGAATAATCTACCTTACTATTAAAGTAATACCGAGGTAATTGCAGTAATAAGGTACTGCTCATCACTTCAGAAGTAAATGCGCCTTTCTTTTGAAAATATTAATTTTGTTTGCTTGTTTACAGTATGCAGTATGAGTGATCGCTACACGCTCTGTACATCTGACACATGGTACAAAGTGCACAAGGAATGATATTTTGTCAAAGGACTCTGTATTTTGCTGACCACCTTGGTAAACCTTCAGGCAGCCTGATTTTCAGAGTATGAAGTGTCTCTGTTGGGCACCGAATGAAAGCAACTCAAATCATTCCACTACATGCCATGTGCCTCACGTGCGATCACCATTTGAAAACGAAGTTAAGGATAAGAAATAAAACCTTCAGTTGTTAGTAAGTCATAATAACTTTCAAAATAAAGAGAAGGTATTATTAATTATGTATCTATAGCTATAGTAGCAATGAACTTCAGTTAAAAATCAAATTTAGGCTGACAGGTACCTCAACAACACAAACCAAAAATAATAATTGCGGATGCAGATCAAAAAGCCAATTTCTACTCAGTTATTGAATTCAAGGGGAAGAAGAAAATGTTCAATCATAACATTTGCTTAAGAATGTTTGTCTTCTTTCTTACCATTGAATGTTAAAAACACCCTTGCTTGAGGCTGGGAAGATCCTTTTACACCGCTAAAGTAAATAAATATCCCAATCAACACGTGCAGTGCAAGAAATGCCATCTCTTCAGATTTGCAACTTAATATCCAAGAAACGAAACCTGAAAGATAGAGATACCACATTACTGCTGTTACACAATTTTGTGCAGCAAAACCACCACCACAGTAAGATCTGTGTTAGAAAGCTCTTCCAGCTGAAGCCATAATATATGATAACATGAAGGAGGTACAGCACTTCATTTTTTCTTTGTAGATCTGAAAATGGTTTTCTCCAGCAGTCTTCTGTGCTGGCACAAAAGGAGCTCTCTGCCTGTTAGTGTGAACCAACACAGCCTGAGTTTTGGCTGAGGCAGACTACAGCATTAAATTCAGTTTATTTGAATAAGGACAATTCCACCTGCTGGAAAAATAATTATACTAAATGTCAAGGCAGAGCAAAGCAAGGACAAGAGATAAAGTTTCACAAATAAAAAGCTGGCTGATATTTTTAGATGTCCCTCCTTACTTTACATCATATTTGATTTCCCTCTCTTTTTTTTTTTTTTTTTGGAGGGGGGGCGGGCAGGTTTGGGTTGTTGGTTGGTTGGGTTTTTTCTCTTAACATTTCAAATCAAAGTTGCTTGGAAATGAGCTTTAAGTTTTAGCAAGTTGAGTTCTCCAATAGCCCTCTAGATCTTCTTTTAAGATGAAATCCTGACTATCTACGTCACTACTTTCAAAACCATTGAAACCAAAAGTATTTCAACATGCCTGAAACTGTTAGTCAACATTTGGGTTTTGGGCTAGCTCCTTCCGGGAGACTTCCCTGCTCTCATAGACTTGTACAGAGCCCTGAGAATGCCCAGTGTTGGACAGTGCATTACACTTGATACTT